GCGTCCCGGGGGTGTGGGCGTTGGGAGCCGCTGCGGTTCCTGCGCCGCAGGCTCCTGACACGGCGGCTTCATCCCCCGGGTGCAGTACGAGCCGCGCGGCGTGTCCTGCCGGGAGGCCGTGAACGAGTGCGACATCCCCGAGAGCTGCACCGGGGACTCCAGCCAGGTGAGCCGGGCTGGGGGGGACACGGGGACGCATTGCGGGGCCACGTGGCATCACCCGTCTTCCTCTCCGTGTCCCCCCAGTGTCCCCCCAACCTCCACAAGCTGGACGGCTACTTCTGCGAAAACGAGCAGGTGAGTCCGGCCCGGCGTGGCGGGACACAGCTGTGGGGCTTGGGCACGGCCCGTGGGGCTCCGGCATGTCCCCATGGGCTCGGGCACATCCCGTGGGGCTTGGACACATCCCATGGGGCTTGGACATGGCCCCTGGGGCTTGGACACGTCCCATGGGGCTTGGGCACACCCCCACGGAGGTCAGGAGCATCCTGTGAGCTCAGGCACGTTCCCATGGGGCTCTGGCACGTTCCATGGGGTTGGACACCTGCCCCGGGCTCCAGCACGTCCCCGTGGGCTCCAGCATCCTGGTGCCTGGGCACACCAATGGCTGCAGCCGCAGCTGAGCCACGCACACATGCACGGGTGTGGGTTGTGGGGTGAGCTGACTCCCGCAGCAGCCGGGGTCCCCGGGGTGTGTGAGCCCTCCCTGTGCAGCGGGTCGTCATCCCTGCGCCACGCAACCCTTCCCTGTGCAAGCCAGGGCCGCGGTCCCTGTGCCACGCACCTTCCCTGTGTGCGCGAGCGTGGCCCTGGCCCCTACCCTGTAATTCTTCCCATCCGTGCGCTGCTTCCTCGTGCACACATGCCCGCAGCGATGGGCCGTGCAAGCCTGCATCGTCTGCCTGCGTTGCAGCCGTGGGCCGTGCGAACCTTCCACATGAACGCATGAGTGGGGCCCCGCGCCCTGACCATCGTCCTGTGGCCACGTGCGCATGGCTCCCCGGTCCCCGTGAGCCTGTCCCCTGCCCGTGCAGCCGGGGCGGTGGTCCCATCCCGGGCTGAGCACGTGCGTGGGGGGGCACCGTCCTTGCACCACCTCGGTGGCCACGCACACGCGTGTGCAAGCCCCGTGACCCCTCTCCCTGCTCCCCAGGGACGCTGCTACGGCGGGCGCTGCAAAACCAGAGACCGGCAGTGCAACGCGCTGTGGGGCCATGGTAAGTGCTGGCCCCGGGGTGGCTTTGCCAGGGTAGGGGGGGACAGGGGTTGACAAGCAGGTGACACCCATTTTCTCCCAGGCTCAGCCGAGCGCTTCTGCTATGAGAAGCTCAACGTGGAGGGGACCGAGAGGGGCAACTGCGGGCGCGAGGGCCCGGGCTGGCTGCAGTGCAACAAGCAGTGAGTGAGCCCCGTGCCCATGTCCCTTCCCGGCTGCCACTTGCCCACCCTGGTGATGCCACCGGTGCCTTGCAGGGACGTCCTCTGTGGCTTCCTCCTCTGCGCCAACATCTCAGGCGCGCCCCGGCTGGGCGAGCTCAGTGGCGAGATCGCCACCACCACCTTCTTCCACCAAAACCGCTACGTGGACTGCAGGTGGGTGCCACCGCCGTGGGGACCGGGACGTCCCCGGTGGGGGGGGTCCCGGTGTCACCCTCTCTTGCCATCCTGGCGCAGGGGAGGCCACGTGCAGCTGGTGGACGGCTCGGACCTGAGCTACGTGGAGGACGGGACGCCCTGCGGCCCCGGCATGCTGTGTCTTGACCACAAATGCCTTCCAGCCACAGCCTTTAACTTCAGCTCCTGCCCCGGCAGCTGGGACGGGAAGATCTGCTTCGACCACGGGGTGAGGGACACGGAGGGGGACAAAGGGGACCCGGGGAGGTGTCACGGCAGCGGGGGGGTGACGCCGTCCCCTCGCAGGTTTGCAGCAACGAGGGCAAGTGCATCTGCCGGGCCGAGTGGACGGGGAAGGACTGCAGCGTCTACGACCCCATCCCCGAGCCGAAGCCGACAGGGGAGACGGAGCGATACAAGGGTCCGTGCGCCCCGCGGGGGGGAGCGGGCTCCCCATGTCCCTACTGTCCCCGGTCCCCACAGGCCAGGGTGTCCCACTTTGTCCCCAGCCACCCTCCGGGGTCCAGTGTCACCATCCCCCCCGGTGCCATGGCCTAGCTGGGCACAGCTGGGTCTTGTCCCCCTCCCAGGTCCCCGCAGCGCTGGGGCTGCCCTGGGGCTGTGTCCCCGTGTCCCCCCCACTGACGTGTGTCCCTGTCCCCTTCCCCCTGTCCCCTCTGTCACAGGTCCCAGCGGCACCAATATCATTATCGGCTCCATCGCGGGGGCCGTGCTGGTGGCTGCCATCGTCCTAGGGGGGACAGGCTGGGGATTTAAGTAAGCAGCCGCCGCATGGCTCGTCCCCTCCGCTGCTGGCACCGTCACCGGCCACATCCCCCCGTGCACTGTCACCATGCCAGGGCCAGGCCCCTGCCCTCCTGAGGCCACCCCAGGCACCCCAGTCCCCCCTAGCTGGGCATCGCCTGTGGTGTGGTCCCCTGGGAGCTGGGGATGCCTGGTCCCCTCGTCCCTGCCTTGTCCCTGCCTGGTCCCTTGTCCCAGCCCCTGCCTGGTCCCCTGGCCCTGCCTGCCCTGCCTGCATGTGTCACCGGGGGTTCACTGTCACCCTGACCCCTTGCTCGGTCCTGGCCGTGTCCCCAAGCATGGGGTGCCGGGGGGGCTGTGTCGGTGGCCCCCACGTGTGTGTGTGCGCGCTCCTGCGTGTCCCCTCACTGGGACACGTCTGCTGCCTGTGGGACCAGGGACACTGGCGGGGGACACACTGGGGGGACGGCGGGGACACGGGGGTGGCACTAACGCTCCTCTCCTCTCCCCCCGCCGTCCTCCCCCCAAGGAACATCCGCCGAGGAAGGTACGACCCAGCGCAGCAGGGAGTGTAACCGTCCCCCCCCATCGTCTCGTCACCGTCACTGTAACCGTCACAGTCCGGCAGCCTGACGGCGTGGGAGCCCCCCCGGGCCGGGGCCGTCTGTCCGTGTCGCTGTGTGTCCGGCCGTGCTGTCTCCATCTCTGTGCCCCCCACAGCTGAAAAGAGATGGCGGTTGGGGGGGGGCCTGGCAGCGGCCCCCCCGGTGCTGGCTCTTTTCAGCTCAGTGTCCCCCCATGTGTCCCCCTGTGTCACAGCCCCACACTAAACACACCCCACTTCTGTGTTGCAGGTCCGGGGGGGCCTGAGCGGGGCCACTCTGCCCCACGCCCCCCCCTCCCCAGCGCCTCATTAACAGCAAT